CCATGGCTTATTATTCCACCTATTGTTTGATGCTAGTTGTGTCCTTGTGTGGGTTTCATGTGTACTGCATTGTGGGTTAGTTCCCAGCAGACTTGTACCATATATCCGGTCAAAATTTGTTTGTGTGCCATACTCTGAAGACCCTAAGTTGTTGATAGCCGAGTTCTGACTATTACCACTTGTACTATTGAGGGTGACATTGTTGTGACATTGGATATCAGTGTGTGCCATGGTGCGATTTAGCACGTTGTGGGTGCTAGTACTATTGACCGTGGGAAGTGTGGGTTTATTTAAGCTGCCACTGTTTTTGTTTGTATGGTTTAGGGGCATATTTTCCTTACCTTTAGCAATGAAGTTATGGCTAGGAGAAGACAAAGTGGAATTTCGGGGGGTTTTGGCTTTTTTTCTGGGGTTATTTAATGGCATTTTAGATTCTGCGGTGATAGGTGGTATGGTTTTGTTATTTATTTGGTTACAGTCTAGTGGCCTTTCGGCTGGTGTTGCACTCTGATGGGATAATTCTGTGTGTTTTGAGAGGGGTGATGCGGTGGGGTCTACTGTATCTTTCACAGGGTTGGGAATAATGGCTGCTTGCAAAGTCCTATTACCTATTTCACAATTAGTCTTAGCAAGATAGTTGTATGCGCGCCTTTCTATGACTGTTTTGTCCACCCCGACCTTTATATGTTTGTAGTTTCTGGCTTGCGATAGGGTGTGTTGGGAGTGGATGAATTTTCTGGTCTCTGCCGGTGTTTCGAACTGAAAACGAATAGGACAACACTTTTCATGTTGACTCTTCTTCAGCCTATAGCACTTAGTCTTGGAGTTAGGCATTTTCGCTTCACTAAGTAAGATGCGCTGTACCTTTTTTAGTGCCTCATTGTCCGGAACGTTGTAGACAATAGCACTCAGTTTTGCGTCGAGTCGTTTTGTTACTTCTGTGGTAACAAAATTAATGAGGTTATCTACCTTAGTTACCGATTCTGTGTCAAGCTTGTTAAGGTTTACAGCTTTCATGAGGATAGTTAGAGGTGTCAATTCACAGACCTGCGATCTGATATCGCTGATCTGATCTGATAATTTGGATATCTCGGCATCGGTTTCGATGTTTCCAGCATTTACTGACTTGCTGTTTTTTATTTCCCTTAACTCAGCCTTAAGTTCACCTATAGACAACTTTAGAAGTTCTATTTCTGAAGATAGTACTGAAGAAGAGCTTGATGGCTGGAGTTTTTCGATAAGCACATAAGGTGAAGGGAGGGTTCTGTATGAGCAGAGGGTACTGAATTTTTAGGCGTAGTGCTAATACTAGCTGTCAGTACCGTTTTATCCTCAGTTACAGCTCGACGCTTACGGTATACAAGTGAGTTATGTGACTCATTATAGCCGTTTGTAGGGGGTGTGTTGCTTGATATAGCAATCAAGGACGTTAAATTAGACACCAGTTTTACAGGGGATGGGTTCGTTGCTTTTTACTTTGACTAACCATAACTATTAGAAATGGAAGTTAGTGGTAACAAGTATGGAGGTAGTATAGTACTTGTGCAAGTACTTTAACAAGATAAATTTTACGTAACGAATCACGTAAAAATGTAACGCAAACGTTGAACGTACCGCGATACAGTTCGGACGAATTATTAATAAAAAAATCATCCTTTTTAAGTAAGTTTGCATGGAAAGACTATTATTTGCATTATAGTGCGTTGACGGTTTGTTTTTTCGAGTTGTTTCAGATCTTAGGGTTGCAAATAGACTACAGGCAATGGTTGTTGTCATTCCAGTGAATCTATGAGAATCGGGCATATAAAGGAGAAATAGCCCGCAGACATAGGTTAAACGTGTGTTTTCAGGATGTTAAACACTTCTGTTATCATCCGTGATGACTGAAATATTCCATAACACATGGACGATATCGCGTGATGAATGAGACAGGCTGCTGAATTTCCTGGTGATTATATCTATGTTGATGAAGTTCCCAGTTAAAACTGCTTAGGCCAAGATGTGATAATAGTTTAATTTACATTTGCACATGGAATTTCAGAAGGCCTTAATTGCTCAGTGCATAAAATGGCATCAGAATATATTGACATCAGTGTTCATCGCGTCCCGAAGAAGAGTATAAATAGTCCTTCTCAAATGTCAGAGTACTTAAAATGAGTATCAGCTTTCTGTCGATGAGTAGCTAGCAGCTGTGTCATACAACTACTACACCTGTTACATAAGTTATATCAATCTCAATGATTATTTTGTTTCAGATCACTAAGATATTCTGAGATCCTTAATGACATAATTGTGGCTATGAAAGATATGGAAGATGCACTTATGGCTCATATCTTTAAAGCAGTTATTATTGAACAAGTTATCTGTAAGCATTTTGTGGTGTTTTGTTTACAATGCTTGAGTGTATGGGGTTACTGCCTGCTTCTGTGAGTCAAGGGAAATTTGTTGAAAATCATGATAAAATGAAGGTTCCTATAAACTCACTATGAATACTGCAAACTGTTGATAAGAAACTGCATCAAAGGAAAAAATTCTGGACGGCTAGAAAATGCTACTGCAGTTTCGATGATTATTACCTTTTGCACTTGTAAATCATCTTTCCAAAGTTCAGAATGACGCCAAACCACCCATGGTACCCCACAGGCCCTACAGAAATTCGTGAGAGATCTTACATGTCAGGTTGTCTTACAAACTGTAAGCTTGCAGATGTTTCAGTTTACCTGTCACTGAAATATCACTTATCTACTTCACGATAGTCTTTTTATTTACCCACTATTACACTCCATTTTATCTCAGCTGGATAGGCCTTTATTAAAGCTGAGACGACCCTTTGTGCCTATTAGTTGCTTGCTTACAGTCTGGTTGCTTTTACTAGAAACACAACAGCACCAACGTTTGAACAAAGCTGTATTTTCATCGAAAACGTCATATTTTCCATGCTTACACCGATATGGTTTGCATTAAACATTGCAAATGTATTCTTATATTCCAAGGACATAACACTTAGCCAATTGTACTGTGTTCATTGTGAATGGTTTACAATTTAACTCTTATCGTAACCGGCTCTAATTACTCGTACAATGGTTGAACGATTTAAACTTTTGAAAAGGCACTAATTTATGATACTTAAAGACTGCAGTTTATAACATAACTTATTGCACCTGTAGAAATGGCATGCATTCTTTGTAAACATTCGTTTATACGACATATGAAATTATTATTTGTCTGCTGCTATCCTTTAGAAGATGAACAATACGTGTGACAGTGAAAACCACAGAAGAACGCTGTCATGAACGAAGAATGAGAAAGGAGAATGAACCTTTTGCAACAAAGGTAGGCGAATATAAGGCTTTTGACGTTAATATTACTTCTTTCTCACTTCGGGGATTTAAAAACACTTTGTTTACTTATTTGCAGATATCCGGTAACGTCAGTCAACCCGGTCACAGCGATTCGACATTGCCCAAATTATTACGACAGACAACTACGTAGAGACATTTGCTTGTTATTATTTTTCACTAAATATATTTAACATCCTGCTTACCAGACCTTTCTTATTCTATCTGAGTGTAGCTATATTTGTCATGATTAGTAGATGCAGGCATGATTTATGAATGAGACCTGACAAAGTAATTGGTGTCATATTTTAGTATAATGTAAATCTGACTACCATTGCTACAGCTCAACGAATTCAATAATTTGTCTCGTGTAGACTTCAATTTACGCTACGTGTTAACAGCCTTGGTCATATGGATTGACATCACGCTTTAAGTGAAACATTAGCAATGCAATACTTTCTAATACACCTAACCGTATACGAACTGGAACTCGAATGCAGTGCCTAAGTTCTGCCTATTGTTGTCATTTGTCCCTAAAGACTTGCATATGACTATGAGACGTATCCATGTAACTTCACTAAAATACTTATAATTTAACACGTATGACGACCTACATCGTTCCTACACAATTACACTTACGTACAGTTAGTAGTTAAAGTCCTAGGGACCACCGGTCTAACATGCCGTGCCCACAAAGCGAACACATGAATTGAAAGACAACAAGATTTACATGAAAAGTCTATTTTAACTATGATACAAACTTAGTTTTTTTACATATTAAGAATGCGATTGATTCCTGCGATTACTCCGTCTGCATAAGTATTGGCAAAAACTTCTCCAAATTTGTCACTAATTCTCGTAATGCCCGCATTGATAATACTCTTTTTGGTTTTCAATATGTCACGTTGATTTCGAGGGACAACTGTTGACGTACTTTGAGATGCAAACAAGCTGCGTGACCATGTCCATTGTTTACAATTCTGTAGCACATTGTTAACTACAAAAGGTGGAACAAAAAACGTTAAGATAATTATGAACAGAATATTGCAGGTTTAATGATGGTAGTGCTTGTGTCCTGTTTCCAGTGAAGGCATTGTACACACGAATACGGTTATGAAAATTACAGATTTCAGTATATAAGATTTTCAGTTAATTAAGGTTAGGTCGGCACGCATTAAAAATGGAGTCGTAAAAACGGAAATAACGTCATACATGTGCACGTACAAGCACTCAGATCGACCTCTACTCTATTCCCATTATCTTGGAAAAATACATAATCGAAGGCTTCAACCTCAAGAGAAGCCCATCGTCGCCTTTCGTATTCACGGATTACCTTCCTCGTGGCGTATGGTGTCAGTGGTCGAAGGATTGGGATTACACGTTGTGAACAGGAATGCGGGAAGCATCGCGACTGAGAAATCATCGCCCCCTGCTGTATTCTTGAAAAACTTTATTTACACCATTTATGCACCTTCAGCATGCTTTTATGCAGACTATCTGATTTTTGCAAGTAACGCTTCATTTGCTCGTGCGAACTTTCTACTCGATTATTTGTATCATTCCCAAAAGTCAGCATATGGTCTCTGAAACATGCAGCCTACAATTCTCGTCGATGCATCCAACGACGTTGTAGATATTGACTGACACTAGCATCCAATCTGCTTATAACTGTGAAATAGAAATTAAATCTGGAAAATGAGAATATTAAAGACATTACTCTGATCTCCTTCTACACTGCACTTCCTCACTTTTTGAAATTCTGCTAATGACTTTTCAAATTCATCCCAGCTGAATAAACGCCTTCCAAGTATTAATTCACCGAAAATTCCATTTAAGTCTGCGATCCTTTCGCTCAAATTGACTACCTGCAACGAACTGAAATAGATTTATCAATAAGTATCCATCTATGTCACAACTATTCCAAGATAATTTTAAAAAAACGAGGTTGAAATACAAGAATGATCAATAACCATCAAGAAAATACCGCACGTATAACCTAAATTACAGAAAAGCACAAGAACCCACCGGTTCGTTGACATCGCAAGCAACCAATAGGCCAAACAACGGAGCGTATGATAAACCAAGCCTAGTGCATGCGCAAATAAAGAAAAACAAAGTGCTAGAATAGTCAAATTTACGTTTATACTCATCACATATGCTGGCAAACGACGCAAACATAACCACACCAAAACAGCACCCGACAGCACCTACCCAGGACAATTCAAAATCCAATTGACCGCCACTGTTCTAGCCAATGAAAGACGGGAAAACCTGAGGTGCGGAAAATATGACAGGTTATAGCGTATATCCTCACCCTGCATTCATAAAGGAAATACAGTGGGAAACTATATAGTTTCTAGGCTGACAACGTTCATTCGCAATGTATGATGCTACCCATATAGGTCTTACTGTCATGATGTCCACTTTGGGCTTTAATACAATTATTCTCAAGCTGGTCGTTTTTATTTCACACCTTTTTTGTGTATTTGGTGCACGTATTCAAAATGTGTCACTGGCCGCGAAAAATCAAATTCACTCACCGAATGCTTCTGAGGAAAATGTACACGATAAGGAAAATAAGACCCCAAATCATGCCAACGATAACAATGGCAGGATAAATAAACCCACACTTCCCACTGCCAATAGTATTAGCAACCAAAACGTGCGAAGTCGCACCACGGCACACACTAATAACCAACGTCACAACAACGCCACCCTCAATAGTACAAGTGGCAATAGTCAGAACAGAATAAGTCGAATCAAATTCATAAAGAGCTATAAAATGTTAGGTTTAATGGAATATAATGAGGATCAAGTAAAGACATTATTAGAAAATGAATGAGATAAGACATTGTGATGTGGTATTTAAAGATCTGACAATGGAGAGCAGGTTAATTTATAAGATGGCCCAAAAATTTGTGCAGAGCCCACGTGGTTGCATCTCAACAATAGGCTGAGCGAATAGTATGTGTTTAAAGGCAGAAGCATGATCTGTCCAGACGATCATTATTATCTTTTTCAAGACAAAAATCTAAGCCCTCATAAAAATCTCGAGCCATCGAATTGCATATTTCTGTTCCTGCAGAATGGGGCGGTTCATCTTAGAGACCACCACCATATCTACTGATCAGCGTGCTCCACCCTCCCTCCTTTTGTGGTGTTAGTGCCAATGTAGTTGAAGATTGAACGATCAATTCATGGTTGTTTACTCAAACCAAAATCTATATTTTGGCGGAAGTCATCGATACTGCAGTCACCGTTCCATCGTCCGCTGTTCGTTGGAAGACGGAGAAAAACTATCAGAAGTATTACTGTGATTTATTGTTATGACATTTATTCTCAGACTTTGTGTACAATAACCTTATGGTTGGTCCTATATTGGTGCAAGAAAAAAGGATTCTTGACTCGCCAATTTGTGTTCTGGTTTTTTGCGTTGGTTATTGGACATAGTTACTGAAAATCTTCTAAGGACATCGTGAAGTCTAGTGTAGTTAGACCTGGACATTTGACAGTTAAGCTCTAATACTATGATTGTTATGGCTACAGCAAATATACTGCTTGATGCCAGACACGTTCGTACCTCATAATCCATTTCCATAGCTTTCTTAGCGAGTGCTTCCAATAGGTCTCCACGTACATCTTTATGAACGTTAAGAACTCTCTCTCCGGTAGATGTGACTACCACAGTCGTCTATGCTGTCTTGGAGGTGAAGAGATTAAGATGTAATTTCCAGTTCATGTTGGTGTAAACACAGATGTAATTGCACCGATGAAAAAAGAACCCAAATGAATCATTAATTCTTCAGGGAGCGAACAGCTCGTCCATCATCACTTGTGACCCTAAGATGGTCACCACAGCTTTGGTTTCTGGAATACATTTCATTTAGAGCTATGTATCACTAACCTGTCTTTCCTAACTGTTGGTGTTGAGTTTGGGAACGCCAAAAATCGCTAGTTGATGCAACATCCCAGCTAGCATTTCTTTCTGGCGCACTGCAAAGTTTTCGCTTCAAGAAAATTCGGGTACATTGGAGAACGTGAGACAGTGGTCTACAGTCTGCTTTTAAGTTTTCGCAATGCGCCCAAAGTTTCTGTAGCTCTTTTAGGCCTTGACTGCACGCCTACAACCAGCCAGTGAACCATAAGTGATAGCCATCAGATATAAACACCTACTATTTACACAGCTTGTTACAATAAACAACATACTTGCTTTAATTCAGACTTACGATATTGGAAAGCAGTTAAATTTTATAAAACACTTATTTAATTTTTATACAAAGTGTCTTTACAATTTGTGGACATACATATTATACGACCCGAATACCGCAAGAATCACCGGAAGTATTTCGCTGTGTACTTTCTCCGTCGGGTCTGTTCTCCTTGTTCTGGTCGACGGTAATCTGGAAATGAGTAAAATTAAAAACTGAGAAATACCTATGGGGAACGTCATCTTTTTCTGATTCTCGCATTCATTCTGCCATCACTCTTGTGGAACCACCTTTGAATGGACACCATGACGGCTTCCACTGTGCTACGTCTATCCACACTGCCTTGCAGGTAGAATGGTTCCCGTAAACTACGGTGAAAACAGAAGTCGCTTGAGGGTACAAAGTTACACGTCTCCGCCTTTTTTCTGTGGTAGCCGCCCATGAGAATTGTCTGCTGTATGTTGGCTCTAGCTACACATTCATGACGCGACCAACTGAGCTTTGGACACTCGAGCCAACCAAAGCAACATGGTCGGTGGATACACAACGATGTCTCAAAGGAAGATATGACGGCATCACTGTTCAACTGCCACCTGTATGTGGACTTCGGTATTTCAATAGAACCCATTGTGGAGACATTCTGATCCATTCTATCAGCCATTTCGAGTCGCGACAGTTTCACTCCGGTCTCAGTGGGGCGTGACTCAAAAGACTCTTGGTTTGACCGCGTAGTTTTCAACAATTCCGAGCAACCATATGCGCAGGCGGCTGTTTCCTTAGTCCTCGCACGCCTGCATGTAACAGCTGAAATGAAATTTAACTTACGTATCAAATGGTGACTAGGAGGAGGTATTCGACGTCGAAGTCAAAGAAGACAAGTTGAAATCAAATTTCTTTAATGAACCCCAACATACCTTTCATTTGTAGACCGAAATTCACTCTGGGAAACTTCGTGCGTGGAAATGAAATTCTTCGTCAGACAGCGACCGAGATCGTTAGTTTAAGGGTGCGGGATCAACTGAAACTTTTCCTGTTGGCTTCGTAACTCTGGAAAGATTAGCCAAGATTAACAGCTTACCGGTTAACCCTGCACTGGCTTACGAGCTGCGTTTTCTCACATGACAACACCGTAAATGATGATTGCAATAATTTGGATGCAGTTTTAACTGTAGCGGCTTCCTCAGAATTGCCGTCCAACTCTGGCTGCATGTAAACTGCTAAGGATGAAATTACGATAATTGTGCGGTGTGTGAAATGGTAGTAAGAGCGGAGTAATGCACAAGACTTAGGCTAATGCATCATGCTTGGATTTCCCTGAGAGTGTGAATGCGTGTTTCACGCTCTAAGTTGTCTACCTGAAATATCCCAATATCTCTAGAATCCAAAAGTTGCATAAGAAGCCTTGGGCTTCTCATGGACACGAATTCTACACTAATTTTCGTTTAAGATCTCATAAGTAACTCCTGGTGTATTATTAACCAGAAAGCAATTGTCAGGGGGAAGTGACCTTATTCTAGGGCCGGAAAAAGTAGCACTTTGATTAATCACACTTACAAACTCATGAGTAGCAATCTCCAAATGATCTGCAAACATTATTGGTCCCATATCTTTCAGTTACCTATTTAATGACGAATTAACTTTCCTCACGACGCAACCTGGATTACATTTGTGGAATATACGCTTATACCAATGGAAAAGTATTAATTTGTAATACAATGTCACGATTGTAACTTATAACATAAACTGA